AATTCCTTATTCAGCCCAACTGAATTACATCATATTAATGTTAATTAATCTTAAAATCATGTTTCATTAAATAATAAATTACAATTATTATAACAAAAATAATAACATATTAATTAATATATTTAATTATAGCATTTTTTATTATTTAGCATTAATTACTTACTATATATATATTAATACCAATACTACTAATAATAATTATATAATATTATATTATTTTATTTTTTTTTTTTAAATTATATATTTCTTCTTGTTTGATTTTACTTTAAAAAATAATATAATAAAAAAGATTATGAGAAACATGAATTCAGGTAAGTATTATCTTAGTGTTTTAAATAAGCAGTCTCTATATTTCTGTTTTAATTGTTTTTAATTATTCTGATTTCTTTTGATTATTTTAATTTCTTCTATGTAACGCACTTTGAATTGCCATTGTGTATGAAATGTGCTATAATAAAAACTTGCCTTGCCTTGCCTTGTTAGTTCTCAGTGAGTGGTCCGGGTCTGGTGAGTTTCCTCCATTGGTGTATCTGCATGAGACCCTCTTCCTGAGCTGGTGCAGACAGGCTGAATGGATAGAAGAAGCCTGTAAGGAACTACGGAAACAGCTGGGGCCACAGCTGGATTTTATATGTCAAGAGATCAGAGGCCGCATCCTGGGTGAGTCAAAAAATTAAAATGAAGTATAAAACACAGTTACATCATTTACTTCCAGTGTGTGCATTCCAATTTTCTTTGTTTGCATGGCTATTACAGGTCTATTCCTCTGGGATCATATAAAGATGCCTGTCATTTCCCTTAAATCTGAGGTCATGCAGTGTTTGGTTCGTGGGATCGTGGCTCTGATGAACGAGACTCCAGTAAGCAAAAGACAAAACAAAAACATTCTGTTCAGTAAATAAGTTTATCGCTACATTGTATTGAATTTACTATCATGCTGTAGGATGATCCCTTAGACTTCTTGGGACACTTTCTACTAAGGTCATCAGTCAACAGTGGTGTGAAGAGCAGCGATCCATTCCCCAGTCCAGAATCTCCAAATGTTAGTGCTAATCTTTCTATAATTCAGATCATATGGTACACCAAATGCCTTAAAATGTCTTTTTGTTCAGGGTTTGTTAAGTGATGCAGATAGACGCAGTGCTGTGTGCAAAGAGCTTTTGAATAGTGAGAAAACATACGTGAGGCATCTTCAAGCGGTGGCAACAGTGTTTTACTCACCTCTCAGAGCGGCACTGGACTCCAATCGAGCCATCATCAGCTCAGTCAATCTCATCAGCCTCTTCTGCCCTCTGCTGGACATTTTGGAGGAAAACAAGTAAAATACAGTCCATTCTTTCTCACAGAACCTGATTTCAACAAGTGCAATCAATATCTTTGTTAGCCCAGGAACAATATTCCAATCAACCAATCAGATTTGAGGTTTATGTCAAGTTTAGGCTTACAACCAAGGTTAGGTGCTTCTACATCAGCGTCATTCACCTATTATTGCCCTGATTTTAGGGATAACTTATGGGTAGGGTTAGGTTTAGGGGTAGGGATATAGACAGGAATGTTGTTTCAGGATCAACAAATTACAGGAACGCATCTTACTTGGAAAAATCTGGATGTGCTGTTTCCACATATATATTTCTCTTTCTGTTGCTCTTGAATTCTCTGGCCTTCACAAATGCTCTTGCAGTGTTTTTCTGAAGGAGCTTACAGAGAGGTGGGAGGACTGGTCTCCGCTGCAGTGTGTGGGGGATGTTTGTGTCAAGTTTTGCACCAAGTTAAGAGTCTACACTAACTTTTTCAACAACTATTCTACCATTCTGAGAACTATAGACAAGGTGTGTTCATGTTGAATATTCTCTTTATTCATAAAAAACCTGATAAATGTAAACAGTGACTTGAATAAGCCTCTTCAGTGATGAAAATGTTTTAATTTGTAAATTAAAAAGTATTTTAATTGATATAATGGGGTGGGGGTGGGTCAGCTGAAGGAAGTCTCGTTAAAAGAATGACATTCTTTCTTTACTGAGTAGTTGCTATGATATTTTATTGTTATTAAAAGCAACGCAGTTTTGATAAAAATGTATAAATATTTGGGCAACTTTTCTGCCAAATCAGTCATGTGGTACGGAAACAAAACAGGAAATGACATCATAGAGATCCCTGCAGACCCTCATGACTAAGTGTCAATGTTGATAGGTCTCTTATACACTTTTACATTTTTACAAAAAACATATTAGAAAACTTAAATGATATTCTGTTGACCTTTCAATTCATTAAAGAATCCTGAAAATAATAAAAATATTAGGCAGCAAATAATATTAGGCAATGTATTTTCAACATTTGATAAGAAATATCTCTTGAGCATCAAATCAGCATGTTAGAATGATTTCAGTAAATGATGATGATCAAACTGGAGTAATGCTACTGAAAAATTACATTTTAAAATAAACAGTTTTTTTATTGTAAATATATTTATTGTAATATTGTATATGTTTTGTAGTGTCGTGAGATGCTTCCTGTTTTCCGCAACTTTCTAAAGAGACACGACCGGACCGTTGCTACCAGAATGTTGAGGTACGGTAAAGTTACAGATCTGGTAGTTTTGTGGCAAAAAAAAAGCTGTGCAAGAGCGACTTAGCAACACTCCTATTGTATTTCCAGTCTCCAGGAGCTGTTTCTCACACCATCCGCACGGGTGGAGGAGTATGTGACTTTGCTTCAGGCATTAACGCTACACACACCGCCTGAGCACCCAGACTACACACAGTTATCATCTTCCCTTAACTCGATGACGGCTTACAGGGGCTTCATACACAAGGTGTGATTAAAAAAAAGTGTTCAGTGAATAAATATGAACATGTATGTTTTCACCTCAAAGATAGTCTATTATGCTTGTTTAAATTTGCAACTTTCTTTAGTGTGTAATATTGCTGTTTGAGTATTAAAAAAGGTCTACAAAGCACAAAGTCCACTCAAAAGGGAGTTATTCTCTAAATCAGTAACTCCCTGAAACGCTTCGTTTGTAGTCTCGAGTTTCTTTTATGTACAGCTGTCAATCGTGACGTTACAGCCGTTTTTATCGCATCAAATAAATTAGGGCTGTGAAACGAATAAAAGTTTGTGTTTACATAATATATGTGTGTGTAGTGTGTATAATAATTATAATAATTATTTTGTATGTATAAATACACACATGCATGTATATATTTAATAAATATTTGGATGCATATACTATATATATTTTTACACAAAATTTATATTATACATAAATATAAATATTTGATATATTAATAACACATTTTTTCTTAAATATATACATGCATATGTGTGTATTTATATATACAAAATAATTATACACACTACACACACATATATTATGTAAACACAAACTTTTATTTTGGATGCAATTAATCGTGATTAATCGTTTCAAATAAATAAATAATTAAAACCAAACTTACTGAACATCAGCGTGATAACTATCTAAAATGACAGAAACCATCTTCGGGAAAAAAATATTTGAAGTATTGGATTTTTTCAATTTGCCTTACGTCACATTTGATTACATAGAAAGTGCGGGACTGATAACATATTCTCCACCCAGCCACCATAGGGCGATCAACATGTTTTGGCTTAAGTTTTCAGGATGTGCGGCACACTTGAGTGTTACTGACAGACTGGGAAGAGAGGTGCCGCAAAAGTGTAAAATATTTTAAGAATAATGTTGTGTTTTTTACATTGAAGCATGAAAACATTCTAGTTGACCCCAAAAACAAAATCAAGACTTTGTAAAAGGGCATAATATGCCCCATAATATGGTTGTGGGTTCGATTCTCAATATCTGCAGGAAATGACTAAGGTCTGTGCCCTTGAGCAAGGCAGCTAACCCCCAATCGCTCCCCGGGCGCCACAGCAAAATGGCTGCCCACTGCTCCAGGTTTTGTAAAGTCATGTCACTTTTCTTAAAACAGTGCTTTGTTTTTCACTCACAGTTGAAAAAGAGTCTGGATCGAGACTTGAGAATCATGGAGGCACAGAGCACAATTCAAAGCTGCCCAGTAAGTTGAGAGATCAGAGAGAGATCAGGTTCTCACAGGCCATTAAAGGTCACGAGGCAAGGTTTCTGTATTTAAAACAACAAAAGTCTGTGATAGACCGCCATACACACTTGCAGTGCACTGTATGCTCATACACAGAGTATAACACTATTTTTTTACTTTATTTAGAATTTGTTGGAGGGGAGCAGATACTTGATAACCACACAGGATGTGGCATTACTGAGCTGCCTTAATGGAGACATTGCTTCCTCTCTTAGGTAGTATCTGACCTGAGATCGAATGCCAGAAACAAAAGCCTCTCTGTCTACTTAAAGCCAACCTTTTTGGGTTTTTTTTTTTTGTAAATGAAAAGTAACAGCATAGTTTCAAATCAAACTCAATATTGGAGTCTGCAATAAAGAAATAATCTTTCTATCAAGGGAACAGATTTACTCAAGCAAACTCTACTGCCCTGTGATGTACTTATTCTCATTTTTTTCTCAGGATGTATGAGCATGTGAGTGACCTGGGAATGTTTCTGTTCAATGATGCTCTCGTGCTTACAGAGAAGAGTGTGTCACACGTGCCGTTTTGTCTGACAAAGAACACGACTCACACCTTTCTCGCCTCTGTGGCTCTGCACTGTCTAAATCTCACGGAAATCACAGATACAAAGTGTATGTGCTATTATTAGTACTGCAATGCTCAGGATGTTATCATAACACAGGACATTATAACACAACACACAATATAGATATATATATCTAAAACTTTAAATGATAATATAATATTAGAACATATAGATTTAACCACTTCTAACTTCTTCATAATCTTTTCAGATGTCCGAAACGCTTTTCAGCTGGAGAGCCCAAAGCGGCAGTGGATATGTGCTACAGATAGAGAAGAGGACAAAATCAGGCTGCTGTGTGCTTTACACAGTGCTATGAGTGCTGCTATAACACGTAACTAAAGATGAACAGAATATTTACTCCTGAAAGCTAAATGATGGACATTAATTCCTAACTTGCTATTTTTTTATTTGTTTTATTACCAAGCAAATTGAATTGGTATGATTACTACATCTGATTATTATTGATTACAGTATGGATTAATGCATGAATATAAAAATCTGCGTTTTTATGCACACTGGATGTCCTTGACTTTATTTTTAATGTATCCTTTTTACTTTATTGCTGGAACAATGCGGAAAAATTGGATAATCATACACAGGGCTAAAGTATAATTTAAATATTGTACATACACACGTATGTAGGGTATAAAAGCAAGCATTTATTTCACAAAAAAAGTGTTCTCACAGTGTTAAAGATTTTGATTGCGTTGTGGGACTTCCCACATCAGTACACTTGCAGATATCATTAGGACAATTGTTTTATACCATTTATACAAAAAAGACTATTAAAAAGACACAAATCCCTCACCACGTGACATGGTTACACGTAGCTGCCACTTATAATTCTTAAAAATTTAATTACATTTTTTTAAACAATTATCTGAACTGATTTTAGTGAAGTATTTAGTGTTTTTACCTCTTCATCTGTGTCTACACACACTATCTCTCCATCTTTGTAGTGTGCAATATTGTCATCTGCATAGTTTCATATATGCTTCAGTATCACCAGGATAGACATGTATGTTTAAGACAAGTACAGTAAATACACAAAATATAATAATATGAACCCTTACTAGAAAGCCAAACAAAGTCATTAGGTAATAGACATTTTGGAGTCTAGCTGTAGTAGTAGTAGTAGCACTAGTTCTTGACTACTTTTATGCACAATAAGTGCAAATTATATGCACGTTTACGTATACATTCTGTGCAAACATGTAGACAAAACAATTATTTAACTTTCAGGAGGTCAATGACATCCTAACCTCCAGTTTCAGACTTTCAATTAACATATAAACGGAAAAGTATAATGTTTTACGATTAGGCCTTAATATAAAAAGTACAAATGATTACATTATCTAACGCTTCATCTATTCAACAACCCACAAAACAATAGAAAAAGAAAAACACTCATATACTCCAAAGAAATACAGTAGTGGCCAAAAGTGATTGGTTTGGGGATTTGTTTTTAATGACCCTACATGTCTGATTAAAGGCACAATCTGTAGGTTTTTTTCGCTCTCACAGGTCAGTCTATTAGACGAATTTAACTTGTGAGGTAACGGAGCGCTGCTTAACTTGGTCTAAGCGGCATTTAAATGCGTGTTAAAAGTTATAATGGTATACTATGTGGTAGTTTGTTTGCTATAAGAAACTAGCAGTAAGCTAGATCAACATTAGAATAACATACTGACCATGCTCTAACATTTCATCATGTTGAGCTAACATTATATAACATTGATTTGTTTTATCTACATTTGCTCACCTGTCTAATAGAACGGTCAAGTCGTGACTCGTGAAGCTCTGTCGAATCCAAGTTAGTCGCGGACGTGGAGCTCTCGCCATCTCAAAAACGTCACACTCATATTGATGATATACTATGTTTGAAAGAAACAAGAACTGCGTGCCGCTAAATGTCACGCACTATGCAATTGTCCACGTCTGTCGCCATGGTTACGCAATGCTATGGCAGTATGAACGGAAACCGAGGAAATCGTGGATATTGCGTCATTGACAGGCGAATTTTTTTTTTTTGGGGACGGCCACTTATTTAAAAAATATTTTATTATTTTCTATATTTTAAATATATGGGAAGAATAAAGCACTAAACTTGGTTAAGGCATTTATCTAACAAAATTATTTGGCAAAAAGGTGTTAACTATACTGTAGCTACATAGTTTATTTTACTATGCAATTAATGCATAGAATAACAAAGAAAGCTCACAGGAAAACAATCAGTTATTAATATTTTGTTTGTTCTCTCGTTTTAGCTTGCGTTTATAATTTCTTTGTATGAAAGTCTTGCCAAAAAATGAGTCTGCATAATTTGGTGTGTTTATCACAAGAAACACAAATGATTTCAAGCACAACTAAGCAATATGCTTGAGACATTTTTTAATAATTTGAATGATATCAATTTTCCTAGTCCAGACATCACTCTTGGGCACTACTGTATAAGGCAAAATATAATCTGTTTTAGGATTCATAATTGATTTTTCAAACTTTAAAGTGCTTGAATCACATCAATTAAAAAATATATGTATACACCACTCCTTCATTGATTCAACATAAGATTTTGTTTTTCTTGCATGAAAAAATTATATAAATTACTAAAGAACATGACTTCCTTTTGATGATGACACCAAAAGCAGGATTCATGTATCTTTCAGTAGAAAAGACCTTTGCATTAGAAGAAAACGACATATTTCTTATATTTCATATTTCAACAGCACAATACTGTGCCTCTGTTGAATCAAGAATTACTTGATATTCTCAAAGTTATAGATAGTGAATGCAGCACCTGGTCTGTTGATATTTATCTAGTGTAATAAACTCTGTAATAGACAACCTTTGGCCTCCAGAGGGAGTAGGAATTGTCAAATTTCAGAAGATGAACTCCCTCACCAGGATATTGGTGGCTGCCTGCGTAAACTTCCTCGTGGCTGTCACGACGGGAAACAGGAACCACTTCATTTACCAGCGGACGTCTGCTCTGTTCTGTCAGTTTCTCTTTCTCAGCTTGTGCTGTGCCTTTAATTAGGATAGAATTGAATTAATAATAAACCATGCAATCATATTTTATTAGTTTGTCTATGAAATCCTCCTTCTTACCTTCATTAGCGTCAGTAGTAGGTTCTCCTTCATTTTTGCTGTTTGTTGGAACGGTCAAGTCCTTCCACTCAAAGTACAGCCCAAAACCAATATCGTAGTGATCAGTGGCAAATTCCCAAAACAAGTGTGAGCCACCCTCATGAGTGGGCACCCGTACTGTCAATACCTCCCCTCGGCCCACCGTGATCACGGAGTCTTCATCGTGCAACACCTTTTCCTTAAACTCCTTAACCTGAGGCCGTGTCCACATAGAGGGAGCAATGATAGGCGCTTCTGCATTCAACAAAGAAAAATAAATAAATGTAAGAGGACAAGTAATGTGACGACTATATGTGTGAATAAAGTTTTTGGTAATTTTTTGGAGTCATTACTCTAGTCTTCAGTGTCACATAAAATCATTTTAATATGCTGATTTGCTGCTCAAGAAACATTTTCTATAATGAATGTTTTGTAAACTTTCATGCTTCTTAATATGTTTGAGTAAACCGCATTTTTTTCAGGATTATTTGATGAACAGAAAGTTAAAAAGTATTTATTTGAAAAAGAGATCTTTAGTCTTATATATATATATATATATATATACAGTATATAAAGTATATAAAATATATATATATATATATAAAGCCTATAAATATATTCTTGTTAATTTAGTAAAGCATTTTATTAATATACATAAATAAAAACAATTTCATTGTTTTGTTTTCAAAAATGAACTAATAATAATTATTAGTTCATAAAACTATGTATAAAACTCCATAAAAGTTTAAACTCCATTAAAAGTTCATAAAATTAAAATAAAACTAATAATAATAATATGTTGTGCAGCATTAAATACGCATATTAGAATGTTTTCTGACGGATCATGCGACACTGAAGACTAGCGTGTAATGTGAAATGAGTAATGATGCTGAAAGTAATACACAGTAATACGTTACATGAAATATATTAAAATAGAAAACAAACCATTTAAAATATTATTCATATCTGACAATATTATTGTTTTACTGTAACTTAACTTTTAATCAAATAAATGCAGCCTTGGTAGGCATCAGAGACTTCTTTCCAAAACATAAAAAATAAAATAAAATCAAACTTCAAATTGTGGCGTATAATTTTCATAGCGGCAAATAGAAAATGAAAATAGACACGAACTTGCACAGTTTGATAAAACATACCGCTTGTCCCTTCTACACACAAATGGAAGGCTTTTGAGTCTGACTGTTGTTCATGATTCTCTAACGAATTTGATTGGTTGTTGGGGTTGCAGATGGGCACTGCTTCACTTAAGACAGGAGCAGGAAGAGCTTCTGACGTTTGAGTCGCATTTGAGTCTTCCTGCTGCTTCTGCGAGGCCATCTGAAATCATAAAGAAGCAACCTAAGACCAGGATCCTGATGAGAAGTTTCTTGAGTGTAGTCACAGACTTCATGCAAATGTCTCCAGATGTGTTTGTACCTGCTGCAGGCGGAGGGCCTGGTGGACGTATTGTTGGTAGTGCTTTTCCTGCAGCTGTTTGATGAGTAACTCCTGTTGGTCTGGGTTGTCTGGACACTGCTGTTTGGCATATTGCTGAAACTGCGCTGCCGTCTGTGCATTCAGAACAGCCATGATCTGCTGTCTGTGCACACAGATGTTATATACTAGAAGTTAAAGTCACATTTTAAAGCAGCAATCATCTCTACAGAGAACTGAAACTCTCTCACTGATTCATTGGTTCAAGAAAAGAAAAAAAACTATTATTTTTAATTGCAATCTGTATTATACTGTTTGTTTACTGTATGTTTGATCCAATAAAAGCAGCCTTGGTGAGCACAAGATTACTTTCAACATCTATATCAATCAATTACCATCACTCACTTTTGCCGCTCTATCTGTAACCTCTCTGACTCTTCTTTCCTTCTCAGTTCCTCCTCTTTTATCCTCATCTCCTCTTCTTCTCTGCGTCGCGCTTCTTCTTCCAGCCGCCGTCGCTCCTGCTCTTCTCTCTCCAGTCTGAGACGTTCTTCCTCTTCTCTTCTAAACACACACACATACAGAATAAAAAGGGCTTCCTACAATTCTTAATAGACTACATTATGAGAAACGTCAGGCACTTTAACTAATATGGAACTTACTGTCTCTTTTCTTGTTCCTCCTTTTCAATCTTATGTGATGTCACATATGGTGCAAACAGAGCACAACAGGAGTTCAGAAGCTTCACAAAGTCCTCCATGGCGTCCTCTTTGGCCATGCTGCCAAGCCGTAGCCATTCTTTCCTGAGAAATGCAGGGATAAATGAAGCATCTAGACATTGTTAGGTTGTCCAATATGGCATTAAAGTCACCATGAAATCAAAATGGACAATTCTTGTTTTTTATGCGTGTATTATATCATGACATGCTACCAAATATATTTGTGTATATGTATCATGCTACCAAATTTCAGAGAATTTACTTCAAGGTACAAATATTATATATCATAATACAAATACCAGGGTAATGCCATTATTATTGTACTGAGATAATAATACTGGCCTTATACAGTCATATATAATCCTCTTTTACCTTCTGTCGTTTCCCAGCCAGTCAAAAAACCCAATTTCTGGACATGCTTCAGGGTTATAAGGGCCAAGAGTGATTTGCTTGTGTAGTGCAACCAAACGGAGATTTTCTTCATATGTTGGATTAAAAGCTTTCCCATTCATCTCTGTGTGGGACAAAACATGTAGAAAGCATCATGAAATAATGACTCTGACAACATCTGGAAGATCCTGAATCACTATTATTTTCAGTGGCATTTCCAGTTTCTGAATGGGTGGAGTTATTATTGCAATGTATCTAGACAATGAGTCACAGTAAAGGGACTTTAATTTTGTTTTGCTACCAATAAAGAAACAGTACATGTTGTGACGGTACAGAATAAAGTTGTAACGTTAAACATTTACTGGACAAACAAAAAAGGGAAAGTGAAAGTCTAGGCTAATTCATTATCTGTAGCCTACCTTTAAAGAATTTCAGCGCAAGTCTGAAGAGCTCATGTAAAGTAAAACCCCAGTTTCTCTCCAAACTCCAGGACTTCTGATTTTCTTCATTATCCTCACGTGATGTATGGTCTTCCTCAGTGCAGGGCGCGTGATTCTCGGTGTTAATAACATCGTTCTCGCCATTTGTATCGGTCATCTCCCTGCCATGTTCTTCTCTGTCAAACTCCATCATGTCAAACAAACTGTCACTACGAGTCGCTGCTGCTGCTGTCACAGGTGGCCACGTAGCGCAGAAAACACTTCTCTTCCGTATTTCCTACCGGAAATCACGGATATTTGTGTTAATTTCAGCTCATTGAAACAGCGTTCACTTTCTGTACCTGCGCAGACAAAACCCAAAATGTTCTCTGACGAATTTCCGCTTTGGTTTAAGGCTAAAATTTCTCAAGACATGAACACCTGATACCCGAGAACACGTTAACTGACCTGACTGACTCAACAAGTCGTAATGCATCCGCTAGTAAACTGAACCACATTTCACTTCAGAGCACTATGTACGATTATCATATATTTTAAAGGTTTATCATATGTTTTTAAGGTAATAGTTTTCTGGTCACGCAGATTTATATTAAGATATTATAGATATTAACTGCTGACATTCTAAAGTATTTTGCACCGTTTTATGGATTTAATAGTTACATAAAACTATATTTTTTGCATAAATGTTTTAATGTTAATATTAACTGAATTTGCTTTGTTATTGTAATTTGTTAAACAGTGTGAAGTTTTCTTATTCATATGTGTATGGGAGGCTTGATGTGTAGCCTTTTTTGTTGTTCTTTAATAAGCATATAAATAGCAGCATTTTGGCAAGGAAATTATTATTTCAAAACCCTGAACCATCAAATAACTTCGATATAGTTGATACAGTTTTTAAAATGTATTTAAAGCATTTTCCACACCTTTATTTCAAAGCATGTTTACCAAACTAAACTGAATCTCACCAAAGAAATCCATTAAACATGTTTAAAGGAACACTTCATCCAAAAATGAAGTTTACTTACCCTCGAGTTGTTCTAAACCTTTATGAGTTTCTTTCTTCTGCTGAACACAAAAGAAGATATTTTGAAGAATGTCTGTAACCAAACAGTTGATGGGCCCCATTCACTTCAGTATGGAAGTCAATGGTGCCCATCCATTGTTTGGTTACCAACATTTTTCAAAATATCTTATTTTGTGTTGAGCAGAAAACAATACATTTATACAGACTTGGAATAATGACGATTTTCACCCAAATGCTAACAGACCTCAGGGAAAACTGGAAAGCCCAGAATTTTAACAGAAACAAGGGTTTCCAGTCTGTCAAGTTTTAACATGAAAAAACACAAGTTGATCTGGAAAACTTTTGTCCTGTGATTTTGCCAACAGCCGTTCTCTTCCATGCAAATTGAGTGTTAATCCTTTCCTTTACACTTACAGATTGAAGTCATTGCATCAGGCTTTCAAAAGCACCATCTTCTGCCATCACAGACCTCCACAGCTATGGTGTGATTGGAATGAGGTAAAGAATGTATGAATGTAAGAGTAATGTAAAGAATGTCCAGAATCTCTCAAGATTGGACCGGATACATGGTCACTCTCAGAGGAGAGAGCTTTTCATTGACAAACACCATTATAAAAGAAAGTATCAGCCTTAACAAGAACTGAATGTCAGAACAGGCTTTTATTTAATATTGTGAGGTGTAATGCATTTTTATAAATCATTTATCAACAATAACTCTTAAATCTTTGAGAAATCATAATTTGGAACAAGATACAACAAATTTGAGCCTATATATGAATATACATCGTAGTTATTTAATTATGACTATCATTTATTAATTATATTGTAACAAACTATAATTGAGTTAAATTTTCCTAAGTACATTCAAATTGGCACTAAGCATTTGTTGTGCTGTACTGTACACTCACATTAGTTGAAGATACGATAGTGCCCATGTATTAGAAAAAGCTGTTTGATTCTACATGAGAGTGGTTTCCCTTTTCTATCATGTTGAGATCACATGACCAGACAACTTTATCCCCTTATTTTTGACAATTTTAATAACAACAAACAAATAATATTAATAATACTAATGGGTGACAAATGTGTATTTCTACACAGGGATTACATGAAAAAAAATTACCTTTTACACTTTTAGTATGTTCATAATGATAGCTAAGCTTCGCTTAAAGCACAGAGACCTGATAAAAACACAAATGCTTTTTTTCACATTATAATCTGCTCAGGACAAAATCCTCAATCGTTCTGTTTCTTTGGCAGTTATCATTCATCACTAAGTGTCTGTCTTCACTATTGTGCATTTTGAATGCTGTGAGCTTTTAAAGTCAACATAAATTTCCTTTTGCAACCCCCGTGTGAATGGGACTTGAAATTATCCATCAGGAATTAAGTAGATTGTGAAAAGTCGACCGAATGCGCAATGCTTAAATAGTTATTTGGCAAATGGTTAACGTTATTCAATAACCTGTGCCAGCAGGAAAGGAAAGTTGTTTCAGGGGAACAGTAAGCTATAACAATTTGATTTGAAGATTTGAACTATTTTTTTTTCTTTGGAACAACATGCACCGATTAATCATTCCACAAGACAAAGAATGTGCATTAAGAATGTAGATATAGGGTCCATTTTTATTTCATGTTGACTTAAAATTTTGTTTGCTGTGTCTTACACATGCACTGCCCATGGAATAAAGGTGCCAGGATCCGCCGGAGGACACTAAAACAAACACACACAAACACATTTTAAAGGTCAACAGCACTTCATTAGGCCCTATCAGAAGCATTAGATATGATATCAAACATTAAACCACATAATTTAATTTAAAATATATTTTATTTATACTACTAGGGTGATATAAGGTAAAATGGGCCATTTAAGGTTTGGGGGTCCCAGCACCTCTGGAATTTAGAGCCAATGACTGCAAAGGATTTCAAACTGTTGTCATACAGTAACTGTGCTTGACAAGTAACAGGTGATTTTTTTGGTTATGGTTGCTATGGTGGGCGGGGGAATAATTCAAATCAAGACAACCCCAGAAAGCTGCATGGTAAGGAGCCAGGCATACCAAATCTAAACTAACTAAACTATTATAAGGATGATACATCTATAAAAAACAAACAAACATGCACATGAAAAAAAAAATATGCATACTATCTGTCTTGATGGCATTAATCAGAAATAATGTTGTTAGTTTGGTATATGAACAACTTTTTTGTAAAAGTGATGTTTTTATGGCGGCCCAATTTAATTTAACCCACTGAGGTAAAATGGGCAACATGGTTTCAGCTAAAATGGGCCATCATCTGTGTCGCACACAAATTTTTATTTTTAAATGGCACATATGAAATATGTTTGTTTAATGCAGTTTAAATGGTATGTGGCAGTATAAGAAGTTGTGTTTTAAAATTAAAATGGATGATAAATTGGTATTTCCTTTTGCAGTGTGACTGGTCCATTTTACCTGAAACAGCTCATGCAAAAACAGTTGGCACATCTGATGTTTCAAGATCTGTAGGGCCTTAGTCATTATTAATCATTAAAAAAACATGGAAAAGGCATATATGGTATTGTATTATTGTCCCAAACGATTTACCAAAAAGTGGCCCAATTTACCTGATATCACCCTATTCAAAAGTTTGGTGTCCATAAGATTTAAGTGTTTGAAATAAGTCTCTTATGCTCATCAAATATTGTTACAAATTAAAAGGTCCCACTTTATATTAAGTGGCTTTAAATACTATGTAATTACATTGAAATTAATAATTTGATACAATGGACTTATTGTGTACATACATGTTTTTACATTGTACTTACATTTTAAAATTCCAGCATGTAATTACAGCTATAATTAATTTATGTAATTACACTTGTAATTACACAGTTGACCCTCCCCTCACACCTTAACCTACCCTTAAACCGACCCATACCACCACACCTGTCCCTAACCTTACCCGTATCACACCTCAATAGCAGCAAAAGTGTTTTACAATACAACAGGAACACAATAATACATTGTACTTATTGTTCAATGTAAGTACATAGTACTTAAAGCCACTTAATATAAAGTGGGACCAATTAAAATAACTGTGTTCAAATAATATATTTTAAAATGTGATTTATTCCTGTGATGGAAAAGCAAAATGGTCAGCATTTTTCCATTCTTCAGTGTCACATGATCCTTCAGAAATCATTTTAATGAAGGAATCATTCAGAAATCATACGGTCACTTTTGATCAATTAAATGCATCCTTTCGGAATACACATATTAATTTCTGTCAAAAAAAATCATACTGAGACTAAACTTTTGAACATTAGTGTGTGAATTGATTTGAGAAGGTATAATAAAATTAATCTTCAGTCTGAAATTATCCTTGTTCAGATACTACATACCAGTTTAGTAAACTTGTCCTCACAGGCATTTCGTATCCGTTCAGGAGTAGCGGGGCTGTCCAGTCTGAAGGGTCCAGTCAGGCCAGATTCTGCCCTGGCAGCAGTGATGGCATCTTTAATGGCATAAAACACTGAGGCCGCCAGAAAAAGAGGAGGCTCGCCCACAGCCTGAACACAAGCACACAGCCTTAAAGGTTAACAGACACAAACTATGATCTTACTGTGTGAAGTCGGTTGTTGTGGTGCGACCAACCTTTGAGGAGAAGATGGCCTTCTCGTTGGAAGCGTCTCTGAGCAGCGAGACCTTTAATTCAACTGGAATATCCCCAAATGCGGGAATCTTATACATGCCAGGTCCGCGAGTATATAGGTAACCATCAGGGGAGTAGCGGAGTTCCTCTAGCGTGAAAAGACCTAAACCTTGCATGAAGCCACCCTCCACCTGCACACGCAGCCATAAATCAGATCATATTCATAATGAAATGTCAATTGAGTGATCTGCTTTGTTCATTTTAGATGAAATACCTGTCCAATGTCCAATGCTGGATTTAAACTCTTGCCCACATCCATGACTATGGACGTATGGAGATTCTGACAGGAGAGATTGAACTTTTTAGCTTGCATCTCAAATGTGTCATTTGTTATGTAGACCAGATGTCCTGTGGTCAGTAAAACTGACATTTGAACATAATAAAGATGCAATTAACATTGCCATTACCTTGTGTGAGCCAGTTAGACAATCTACCTCCACCTCTGAGACGGCCACGCCATAACTAAAGTAGTTAAATGCCCTTCCTGAATTTGTGTCAAAGTCATAGCCAAGATCTGGAGTCCTATAAAATATAATCGGATTAATTATACCTCTCATTTTTTTGTGGACCAGTATGATTAGCACTGTAAAGTGTGACGATGATCAAATT